TATTTTTCTGCAAAACTTAGTAGATATATCAAACAGAACCTAAAGTGGTGCCTTTTGCTATTTGCAGATTTTTGTGATTTAATATTTTCTTGGTTTCCATGGTTCCAAACGATTCGGACTTAGTCTCAAAAAGGAGGGGTGGGTTTCATTTCCGGAGCACAACTCGAAAACTTCTTAATATTTTTCAGCAAAACTTGGCAGATATGTTAGGCAGATCCCTAAGTGGTGCCTTTTGCTATTTGCAGATTTTTGTCATTTATGTTTTTCATGATTTCCATGGAAACGATTTGCACTTAGTCTAAAATCAAGCTGGACTTAAAGTAACTGTCAGATGATTTGTTCTTTCAAAGATGTGGGGGCCTGGGGGATATGTCATCTTCTGATGACTCTTGTTCTTTAAATCCAAAAAATGATGTGAGTCTATTCTACTTTTAGTTTAGTACCGGATTTATTTTCTATTTTATAAGGTTGTGGCTCAATAGTTTTACCTGTGTACATTCATATAACAAACGAATGATATTTTCAGTTTCAGCATTGCACAAAGAATATAGAGAATATGCTACAATTTTATATTTGAACATGTTTTTATCTGTTGTCAGCATTCTATGAATAATATGGTGTTGGAATTAATTATCTTAACTTTGTCTTATTCGTTGTTCTTAACGGTAAATAGTTTTCCATCCAATTATATTTCGATATTTCTGTATAAATATCAGTTTGCCATTGTTATTGACTACTTTTTCCTTTAAGGCAATATCCTTTACACAGCAGCATAGATTAATCTGCATACTTTTTCCTCCATGTATAAAGTTCTGAGGTTACATGGATCGAATGGTTCTTCCAGTATGCTATCAAATGATACAGATTCTTTCCACATATTTTTATAGATTTGACAAGATCTGTATGTTCACAACAGAATGTTTTTACTTTAGGAAAGTTATTAATATATGTTTAAATGTAAATACACACATATTTATTAGGAATTATCATGGTTATGAAATTTGTATTATATCTTTTTATTGACAATGGTGTTTAATGATTCACTAGGTGTGCGTTTGTCACAAACGTTTAACGATATACTCGTTTTTTATAATATACACGGCGTAATCACTATATATTGCCAATAATCCCATGACATGATATTAAACTGTTCACTTTATTTCTGCAAGAACTGTACCAAAAAAAAGTAAAAAAACATGACATGTCCTCCTTTTGCCCAATCGCAAGCATCCCTCTGATAGTTCCGTACCAAAGGGGTATTTTTAAGTTCACCTTTCTTCGTATAACTATGAAAAGAATAGCCACATGATAATGAACAATCAGAAACCTGATCCGGGCATAATATTGGAACATAAATATTATATTTTGAAATATTTTCTTTGACTTGGCGAAACCGAAGCGAAATAGGTGCGCGCGTTGTACACAGTAAGATACATGGTAAACTATCCAATTGTTTATCTATCCAGGACATTATTCAAATGGTGAGTGAGTGAGCAATGTTTTAGCTATATCATGACTAAAACAATTCATTTATCACTCCCTCCAAATCAACCCACCCCACACCCCGGCATGTAATTTTGTTTCCAGAGTCTTAACTCAAAAACCGTTCTAAGTCAGAATCGTTTACATGGAAACCGGGAAATATATGAATGTCCAAAATCCGCAAATAGTAAAAGGAACCACTTTCGGGTATGTCTCATATATCTAATAAGTTCTGTTGAAAGATATTGAACGGTTTTCGAGTTGTGTTCCGGAAACGAAGCGCACCCCTCCTTTTGAGACAAAGTCCGAATCGTTTCCATGGAAACCGAGAAAAATAAAAATGACAAAAATTTGTAAGTAGCAAAAGGCACCACCTTAGGTTATGTTTGACATATCTACCAATTTTTGTTGAAAAATATCGAACGGTCTTTGAGTTATGCTCCGGAAACAAAATGATTACGGACGGACGGACGGAAAGACGGACGAGGCGACGACTATATCCTCCCGCATTACATGCCGTGGGGATAAAAATGTATATACATGTATCTACAAAACAGATCAATCAAACTCTATCGATCAGATCAATTTCTTTTATAAAATCAATAGTTAAATGAAAAGAAGACAAAGTCATCAATATCCCCCGCAATGGCAAAATACTCTTCATGATTATGTCTACGAGTTATGATTATGTCAAATATTTATGTGTGTATATAGAAAAGTGGAAGGAGAGTATTGAAAGGTTTTTAAAGTTCTGCTCCAGGAAGGAGCACTATCACCAATTTCAGTCTATGTCAAACTTGTTGCCATGGAAATGCCAAAAATATTTTATTCAGAAATCCAAAAGTACCAAAAGGCACTAGTACACCACCAGACCAATCTATGTGTCAAGTTTGGTGAAGAAATAGTGAACGGTTTTAGAGTTCAGCTCCGGAAAAGAGCACTACCACCAATTTCAGGCTAAGTCAAACTTGTTGCCACGGAAAAGCCAAAAAGATTTTATTCAGAATTTCAAAACTACCAAAAGGCACCAGTACACCACCAGATCTATCTATGTGCCAAGTTTGGTGAAGAAATATTGAACGGTTTTAGAGTTCTGCTCCGGAAAAGACAAATGTGCACGGACGGACGCACGCACGCACGCACGCACGCACGGAGTCCATTTTAATATCCCCGCAAAACGCGTTGCGGGGGATAAAAAGATCTTTAACCGTTTTGGCACGGAAATATTTATCTTTTGTGATGGAAAAATAACAGTCAAGCCGGACATGTTTGACTGCGATTTTTTCATCACGAGGGACACAAAGCGGAGGATCCTCACCTTTTAGTAAATATTCACGCGTATATCTTGTGTGGCCAATACGACCTCTTCGAATAATAACTTCGTCAACTGATAGTTGGTTGTATCAATGTAATTTATTGATACCTACTTGTGTGCACATGTCCAACTTATTCTGCCACAATGTTGGAAGCCAATTTCTGGTGTCCCCCGCCGTGATATTGCTGGAATATTGCTAAAAGTGGCGTAAAACAATACTCATTCCCTTCTTCTCCATCAGATTACGAATATAAGATCTAATGATAGCTAAAAAAACAGTCATTTGATAGCTTTGATAAACCGAGATTTTATACCTTGAACGGAAATTAGGTGAGCTATATACTAAACAACATACAGATGTCATCTTTCTCCGGCGTTGCCAAATATTTACAACATACAACTAATGTGGTGTCGTATTTTCAGAAATTTCTTTACATTTGAAAATAAGGCTCGATCTCTGTTAATAATGATGCAACGTTTGTCAAAATACATCTACATAATCAAGAGAGTTTGGGAATCTAACAACTAATTTCTAGGTAGATAGGACCATCTATTTAGCTATTACCTCCTTTCTCATCAGCGATTTCCTAATTCATTATAATTTGTGATAATACCAAAACGTATCCGGTTACAATGTGGATTTTGTATTGAAACAGATTGGATCATCGTGTATATGTGTGTGTGTGTGCGTGTGTGCTTGTGTGGGTGCGTGCGTGCGTGTGTCCTCTGTCGTCGCTTGACGTCAGAGGAAAATCAACATTCGTCAAGCCATTTTTCACATTGAACGTAGAAAGTTATACATAAGCATACAAATCAGTTTCATATATTGTTATGTCGTTCAGATATCACGCAGTATTTTATTCGCACAAAGTTTCATTAAAGATTCTAAATAAAGAAATCATCACGTTGTAAACGGAGACATTTACTGCTTTTCAACGCATAACAAAATTGCGGACATCCTTTAACAAAGTCTACTTTCCAAACCGTCTGTGTATTTGTGCTTCAAATTTACATCATCGGAAAGGAAATTAAATACTCTACATATCTGTGTTATAGCCGTAGCTAGAAGCAGTGCATCACTAACGCAATTGTCGCTCAACGTTCATTTTTCAGAACTTCAGAGAAAATACACCTCGGCATCCATGGGGTTAAGTCTTCTGTGCACTGCGTTGTATATTAATAAGTCTGCTAGATCCCATGGACACATCTTTTTGTAGAGATATGAATGGAATCCTAATTATGACATAAAAGCAGATAAATTTAATATACATTAAGTGTGATTCACCCAAAGTACGAGCGCGCGAAACGGGAGGCGAGAGTGAGTATTGCGTACCGCTAATGAAGAACGTCCTCCGATATGGACTATAGAAATTTGGCGCATGCGCACAGCATGTCAACATGTCAGCTCGCTATCGTTGAAACAAGAACTCAACGGGTTTCAGGCCCATTAATATCTAAATGTATGATCACAAAAATATGACAGTTACGTGTATGTATAGGGAAATTATCTGGGAGTACATCGATATCGACTTTTCAGTCAAAAACCCACAGGAAATATATTTAAAAATCTCAAGAAAATACGAGGGGTAATCGGCCGCGATGCAGGGTCATGTCTTGACTGTATAGGACCGCATCGCGGCTCTCGGCTAAGTCTGACCCTGACACTTCGTGCCTGACTGCTCTCATTTGTAAACAAGCTTCATTTAGAATATCTGATCTCACTGTTATTACCAAGGCTCGTGGTGAGTTAATATTTTATATTTGTGACTCAAAACTTTAGATTTGTGACTCATATGCATTGTACTAGAAATCTGTATTGTGATTCATTGTATCTTATCTTGCTCATTGTTTGCTCAATATATTATTGAATATTTTTGACTTGTCTGTGTTATATTTTGCTGGTTCAATGGGGATTCTTATACCTGTTGTCACGGCAATTTATTAACCGTAACACTGTTCTTTGTTATTTTACTCTTCGTCCTTCCCTTTTTCCTATCACTCGATACCTCTTGTATTTCTCTGATCATTTGTATTTCTAGAATATCCGGTACATCTTTAGTGAGAATATAATTCACATTTTATTCATGTCTAATGTTTTTTAAACTTACCCCACGATGAAATCTGTTCAGTAATGCCTTGAATATTTAACATTATATGTCACGTGACGATGGCGGATGCTTTTATTGTCTTGTTTCTCTTCCAGGATGCATTTCCAGACGAAGATGTGTCACTTTTGTCTTGTCTCATGAATAACTAACGTCTGCAGTCAACGTTTTCCTTTCAATTGGCACTTCTCTGAAAAGTTTGAACCCTGTATGTTGCCGCGGAATAAAATAGTTCTTGTTTTAACGACTGAAATGCGGTCTGTGTTCGGTGATTCTGCGCAGTGATACAGTCGTTGGCGTCTTCACATTGAAGACCCACGCTCGCCTTTTAACATGACTACGAAGCGTGAAGCCAATTATGGTCGACCCATGCCACCTGTCCCCCTGAAATGGTAGATTAAAACTAAACTCACTCTGCAAATAGAATGCTGTTGGGTTTTGTGTGAAAATCATCGTCATGGCAACAGCCCTGAAATATGGTATATTTTACTGTACGGTAATGTACGCTTTCCTCAGGCGGGAACGAGGTAACAAAAAGTTGTGAGTGACCTACGTATAAGGTGACTCGTAAGCAATGTTTGTCATTCTCACACAAAAAACAACAACTTTAATGACATTTAAAACGTTTATTCATGTACTTGCCATCTGTTTTTAATAACTGTTGTAATAGGAACGACATCGAGTATCACTGACTGACTGACTGACTGAGTTTGAGTTTTGCTTTTAGCAATATTCCAGCAACATCACGGCGGGGGACACCAGAAATGGGCTTCACACATTGTGCCCATGTGGGGATTCGAACCCGAGTCATCGGCGTGACGAGCCAACGCTTTAACGATTAGGCTACCCCACCGCCCCATCGATTATCACTGACGTCCATATGGTGAGGTAAGGTGAAATTGGGTTTAACGTCGTGCTTGAGAATATTTTGCTCATATGACGACGTGCATGCGTGTGTATGTGTATGTGCGGCTGCTTGTACTAGCCCAGACTGAAGCTGGTTTTATAGTGCTAGCCGATTGAGATACCATGCCGCAGACATAACCCACTCAGACACATTATACTGACTCCGAGCCGACCAGTCCTTGTTGTACCCATTAATGCCTAGCGCCAGGCAGGGACCAACAAGTACCATATTTTAACGTCTTTTGGTATGACGCGGTCGGGGATCGAATCCGCGACCTTCCGCTCTCCGGGCGGACGCTCCAACCACTACACCACGGAGGCGGTCGACGTCCATGTAGAGGTCATGTAGTACATGATATATGGGACATGTCACGTGCATGTAGTGTGACCTACCGTAGATATTAGCAACATGTAGCTGTTGATAATACATTTGATATATACCATCCAATCAACGAAGCCATCCTGTCCGCGAAGCCATCCTGTAAGCGAAGCCATCACATCCTCGTAACCATCCTATCCGCGAAGCCATCCAATCCACAAAGCCATCCTATCGGCGAAGCCAGCCCTCAAAGCCATCCGATCCACGAAGCCATCCAATCCGCGTAACCATCCCCTTTAGCCATCCAATCCACGAAGCCATTCAATCCTCGTAGCCATCTATCCGGGAAACCATCCGACCTGCATTGCGGATTCTGACAGTTGTACATCGGTTTTTCAATTCATACCTCAAAGAAATCGTAAAAAGAACACAGTCACTTGTTAATGTTCCAAATCAATACAGATGTTATACAACTTTAAACGAATCTTCTGCCTGTTATACTGGGGGAAAAGCGAACAACGTGTAGCAGCCAGGGCTTTGGAAATCCATGGATACACAATTAGTATCGACCTATTATACTTTCCGTGAAAGAGAGATTTAACTATGATTTCGGATAGCAAACCCAGCAAATAGTCCGCTTTATATGGCGCTCATATCCAGGCACATTGCCTGCTCACGGCGCTACGTACATTACTATCCCCGGTCATAGGACAACATCATACTATCCGATACTATTTCAACTCCCTGGGGATCATACAGCCACGCTGCCTGTTAGGCGCAATGACCTAAACACCCACATTGCCAGCACATCCTCACGGGTACCCATTTCACAGCTGGGTGAACTGAGACAATATGGATCTAAGTATCTTGTCCACGGATACTACGCAAATGTGCCCACCTCGGGACCCGAACATATGTGCCTCCACCGGGGATCGAGCCCTGTCCTTCAGTGTGATAGGCAGACGCCTTACCACTGTACCATTGCGCTCCACAGATCTTATGATTTGTGTCCTTGTGAACTCAAGTCCAAATCAGTCTTTGAAGCTTCAACGTTCATTCATATTAGATAAGTCATGATTGGCATCCATCCAACGAGGACGCTTCTACATTTCCAAAGTCAGCATATTTATACTACTGTACTGTGTCAACCCATGAACCAAATGTATGCCACACATTCACGGTACAAATCCTTTGTTTTCAGACTTTAAAAAAACACTAAAAATTTAATGCGAAGTCAGTGTTGCAGCTGAATGAAATACACCCAATGACCGCAAATATCTAAATGGTCCATATTCTGAAGTCTTTCTCATCTTTCTGGTGTATGACTATGGTTTTATGCCGCTTTTTGGATTATAAGATCAACTTCACGGGGGTGTGGGGGTGAAATGGGCTTCACACATTGTGCCTATATGGGGAAGCGTACTCCGGCGTGACGGGCGGACGTTTTAACCACTAGGCTACTCCTCCGCCCCTCCCGTCATACCAAAAGTACGTTAAAAGGTGGTTCCTATTGATTCCTGCTTGGCGTTTGGTTTTCAGGGAAATAAACAGGGACTGGTCGGTTCGGAGTTAGTATACTGCGATTGAGCTGGGCACACAGCTCCCAGTGGGCAGAATAGCTCCCAGAATAGGTTGGTCCTCAACGTTGACATTAGGTTGAAAATAGGTTGTACATTATATGAAAGTTTTTTAGACGTAGATATCCGACGTGGAATCAACGTTGAAGTTTGACCTATTATTAACGTTGAAAAAAGGTTGTATATGAAAGTGTGTTAGACGTAGATATCCGACGTAGAATCAACGTTGAAGTTTGACATATTATTAACGTTGAAAATGAGTTGTTCCGTGGTTGTGTATGGGAGTTTTTTTATATTTAGAAATCTAACGTAAACACGTGAAAATTCAACCAAGGTTGCAATACTTGTATTCCGCATTCCTGTAAATAGACTCGCATTTCAGCTTTAAACTACACTAAAGTAGCACCAAACTCCTGCATCCAGTTAAAATACCCAAACAAACTACCTGCAATAAACAGTGTTCAAACAGAAAATTGCAGTAAAAATATTTACCTCATAAAATATTGGTTAAAATTCCACATTCACTATAATGTTCATTTAAGTTTCATGTCAGTTGGACGTATAATTCCAGGAACAAGGAAAGAGTATTCCAAATTCAGAAAAACTATTTACTGTTGTATTGTTATCTTGAAAAGATGGAAATTGTCCGGAGAAGATATTTTGCCTGATTTTCAGCTATTAGATAGACCCCTGAATAAACACAATGCAATTACTTTCACCATGGAAGGGATCCAAGATTACCATGAACTAAACCTGAAGACAGCACATAAAACAAGTCACTTTTCATGACATCTTTAGATAAAGAGAAATTGTTTACTTTAGACTAAATTTAAAGGTGAGGTGAGGTGAAATCGGGTTTAACGTCGTGCTTGAGAATATTTCGCTCATATGACGACGTGCAATCGTGTGTATGTGTATGTGTGGCTGCTTGTACTAGCTCAGACTTAAGCTGGTTTTATAGTGCTAGCCCACTGAGATACCATGTCGCAGTGAAGCATGAGTGAGTGAGTAAGCAGCTTTTAGCAATATTCCAGCAATATCACGGCGGGGACACCAGAAATGAGCTTCACACATTGTACCCATGTGGGGACTCGAACCCGGGTCTTCGGCGTGACGAGCGAACGCTTTAATCACTAGGCTACCCCACCGACCCAGTGAAGCATGAATACTCCACTCAGACACAGTATACTGACTCCGAGCCGACCAGTCCTTGTTGTGCCCATTAATGCCGAGATCCAGGCAGGAACCAACAAGTACCATATGTTAACGTCTTTTTGTATGACGCGGTCGGGGATCGAACCCGCGACCTTCTGCTCTCCGGGCGGACGCTCTGACCACTACACCACGGAGGCGGTCACTAAATTTAAAGCACAATGTAAAACATCATACATGACATAGTCTGTAGGTGATCTCTGTTGTGCTAATATCACAATATCATATGCATATAGTATTACACTGACATTTACGCCACCAATTTCAATACCACAGTTCAGATCTTTCAACACAATTACAACTCCAAACACACAAGTATTAGCTTGTCTTCTTTCTGCCACTCCCAGCTCTGACGGTGGATACTTCAGAAAGGTTCCTAACACTTTCTTCAAATTTGCTTCGGATGCATTTCCATCCTGAAATAGGACACATTCTGAAATATTTATATTTAAATACAGGATATATTGTCTTAAATGATTCAAGTATTTGTTTAATCAATCACTTGAAGGGTTCATTTCACTGCTGTAACTTGCCACGTGAACATAGGTAACAAGCATACGAACAACACCCATACAAAATATGCGGAAAAGTGCTTTTATAGTGTAAACAATTTATATTTTTAACTAAAGGAATGGAAGTCTTCTTAAACATTTTCAAAGAAAATCCTCAATTGCAAGTTGATTCTTCAATTAGACTATGAATTAGGATGAATTAGACGATGCTTTACTGTCATATATTATTTGCTATGGCCATGATGAAAACGCTGACAAAGAGCATTTGGTAATTAACATACCAGAGAAGATTGAATACAGTCTTGTATTCTTAAAGAAAACTTGCCGTTTTGCCCATCAACATTCATTCTTGACATCAAACTGTTTGACATTGTCCTGCAAAACAATGGAAGTTTGTTGTTATTCTGTCAGATTTAGTTTTCTTATTTTAAATTAAATAGGTGTTGTACTGATGTTGCAATTTTGCTAACAGGAGTCATAAATTGTAACAAAAGCCATTTTTTACATTAAAGGATGAGAAAACAATGAATATGGGTGGTAATGAAAGAGCATTATCATCTTTCTCTTAAACTTTGTGATGGAGATACTGGCAAACAAGTGAAATGTTAAAATGTTGTTACCTTAGCATTGCTCCTTTCATGTGATCCACAAAATTGATGCCAGTCAATCTTCCATTAAAGATAAATCTTATTTTTCATAATTAAATGTTCCTTTCTAAATTACTTCTTTTGTATGTAACATTGTAACCATTAAGAGATATAAATCATCACATCCCTTCCAAACCAGTGTAAGAATTAAAGTCTGTGGGTGCAGTTTTGTTAATTGGCCCATCAAAGAATCATTAGTGAAGTTACACATTTTGTAAATAAATAAAAGTTCAAATAATTATATACAATTTTACCCTTCACAAAGACGTGCACAAGACATTTTGAAGTGAATTTTTTTGCTTGACCTGAGAAAGATTTCCTTTCGCCATTCTCCATCATTGTTATTTTACCTTCCAATTTCTAAATGTCCATCAAGCATCTGATATGGTATCCTTGAGGGCTAACACTAGAAAAAAAGTACAGTACAAACACAATATACGCACAGTTACACAGGTACGTGTGCGCGCATACACGTACGTATGAACGCACACGCACACACATATCTGTAACCTGTAACTATCCAGGGCCCCGTTTCACAAAGCTCTCGTAAGCCTAAGATCTCGTGACTTTTCTCGTAGCATTCGTACTTCCTAAACTGTAACATTGACTTACGATAGTCGTAGCGCTACGAGAGCTTTGTGAAACGGGGCCCTTTCTGTAACATTGACTTACGATAGTCGTAGCGCTACGAGATCTTTGTGAAACGGGGCCCTATACTGTAACATTGACTTACGATAGTCGTAGCGCTACGAGATCTTTGTGAAACGGGGCCCTATACTGTAACATTGACTTACGATAGTCGTAGCGCTACGAGAGCTTTGTGAAACGGGGCCCTATACTGTAACATTGACTTACGATAGTCGTAGCGTTACGAGAAACGGGGCCCTGGTCTGGGCCAGATAATGACCCGTGAATGACTATCTGGACGACGTTCAGGGAATCCTGTAAACAATACTTAATGTACACTCATACAGTCAATAATATTCCAGGTCCATACATAATGCAGTGGTTCCAAGCTCCTAAGTGTGTATTTAACGTATAAGGCCTTTCCGCTTCAGAACTCTACTATCAATGTGGTTCAATAATTTCGGCTCAGAGCACTCATCAAAACATTCAGTTGATGTTTAACACAGCATTGTCCGCTTGGTGTGGGCGGACAGCGTGACGTGTGAACGATCCTGGACGCTGACCGCTGTGGTCAAACCACCAAGGATGGATATGGATTTGACAAACCAAGGGACAGAAGCACGGCGAACCCACGATCGAACTCAATATTATACAATCCTGCAATGGCAAAGGGACGCAACTCATTACAGTGAATTAGACGACTAACGTTCCCATACTCTCTGCTTGAATAAAACTCGCATATGCCCAGAAAAATAACTAAACCTTTGACTTAGTGAGCGTGAGAGAGCAGGGCTCGATTTAGTGGTTTGTTACTTGCACTGGTGCAACCCAATATTATAAAGTGCAACCTAGTTATTACTCTAACTTGCACCAGGTGCAAGTCAATTTTGAGTGGGTAAACTGCTGAATAAAACATCTAAGTAATTCAATAGCACATTTCTTTCTTTACATATTGCAATAAAAGCAGTGCAACTGGAATTTGGCTGGTGCAACTATGTTTTTATCTTAGGTTGCACCTAGTGCAAGTAGGATAACATCTCTTAAATTGAGCCCTGGATAGGCTTAACTCTTTGAACGGTATTTCAGTTATACTATATATCACGGCGCTTTCAATCTATGGCCTTCGCATAGTGAAAATTATCAAATTCATTGAATTTCGATCCCTCGAGCAAATCTTCCGAGCTTCGACACATACGGAGTGAATCTATTAAGCATTGCTCATGTAGATCCAGACCGGGCCGAGCCTCGTCTTAAAAGATATTCGAGTTGACAAGGGTATTACTGCACTTTCAATTCACGAAGTTGTCACGAAGTCTACATCAAGAATCAGTAGTTACTACTGACACAATATTTTCAAACTGTATTTTGAAATATTTAAATCAACTATTGCTACGTGTTCGTGTGTCAAACCATCATTGTTAAACATTGGATATTCACGTGTACCCGTCTGTAACACGCGGCTGAGCACGCTCCACATGCGCAGGACAAGCAGTTGGGACTGCCACCCGTATAAGCACTATCACCGCCAGCACGTATTTATACACACGTTTGAATATTGATTGTCAGTCTCTTCATAGCGACATCAGCAGTAGCAGGGTGGGGAGCTGACTCTCGGGTGTCCGTTGTATGTCCACCATACCACACATGTGCCAGGTCTAAATGAGAGACACAGGTGCCAGGACTAAATAAGAGATACAGGTACCAGGACTTAATGAGAGACACGTACCAGGACTTAATGAGAGACACAGGTGTCAGGACTAAATGAGAGACACAGACGCCAGGTCTTAATGAGAGACACACGTACCAGGACTTAATGAGAGACACAGGTGCCAGGACTAAATGAGAGACACAGACGCCAGGACTAAATGAGAGACATACGTACCAGGACTTAAGAGAGACACAGGTGTCAGGACTAAATGAGAGACACAGGTACCAGAACTAAATGAGAGACACAGGTGCCAGGATTTAATGAGAGACACAGGTACCAGGTCTAAATGAGAGACACAGGTACCAGGACTTAATGAGAGACACAGGTACCAGGTCTTAATGAGAGACATACGTACCAGGACTTAATGAGAGATATGCGAACCAGGACTTAATGTGAGACACAGGTACCAGGTCTTAATGAGAGACAAACGTACCAGGGCTTAATGAGAGACACAGGTGCCAGGACTAAATCAGAGACACAAGTGCCAGGACTTAATGAGAGACACAGGTACCAGGACTAAATGAGAGACACAGGTGCCAGGTTTTAATGAGAGACCCAGGTACCAGGACTTAATGAGAGATACAGGTACCAAGACTTAATGAGAGACACAGGTACCAGGACTTAATGAGAGACACAGGTGCCAGGTCTTAATGAGAGACACAGGTACCAGGACTAAATGAGAGACACGGGTGCCAGGTCTAAATGAGAGACATACGTACCAGGACTTAATGAAAGACACAGGTACCAGGTCTTATTGAGAGACATACGTACCAGGACTTAATGAGAGACACAGGTACCAGGTCTAAATGAGAGACACAGGTACCAGGTCTTAATGAGAGACATACGTACCAGGACTAAATGAGAGACACAGGTACCAGGTCTAAATGAGAGACCCAGGTACCAGGACTTAATGAGAGACACAGGTACCAGGTCTTAATGAGAGACATACGTACCAGGACTTAATGAGAGATATGCGAACCAGGACTTAATGAGAGACACAGGTACCAGGTCTTAATGAGAGCCATACGTACCAGGGCTTAATGAGAGACACAGGTACCAGAATCTAATGAGAGACACAGGTGCCAGGACTTAATGAGAGACACAGGTACCAGGACTAAATGAGAGACACAGGTACCAGGTCTTAATGAGAGACACAGGTGCCAGGACTTAATGAGAGACACAGGTGCCAGGACTTAATGAGAGACACATGATGTACGTTATAGCATAGATACCAGGAGGTACGTTACAGCATAGGTACCAGGAGGTACGTTATACCATAGGTACCAGGAGGTACGTTATAACATAGGTACCAGGAGGTACGTTATAGCATAGATACCAAGACCTACTCTCTACCAAAGGTACTAGGAGATCCGTTATACCAAAGGTACCAACACTGGTACCAATAACTCGCATATATATTCGGACTTTATTACAGGTGCCAGGAATATACCATATATGTACTGGAAAGCATTACCTTAAGTTCCCCATTACTAAGGTACCAAGACACGTTTTACCATTTCACGTTTTATCGCATAGATACCAGGAGTATATTACTTAGGTACCGGGATATCTTCTATGTAAGTGGCCTTTGCAAGTGTTTACCAGATAGGTACCAGTGTTTGTGATTAGGAGACCGACCAAAACATCTCCAACGCCAAGATTTAAAGGCGGCACTGAACCAGATATCATGGATACAAGAGCGCTGAAGGTAATATATTTTTTAATTGAACGTATTTTATATTTGTCGTATTTAAATTCCTTCACGATATCATTTAGCAATAACCAAAAACAAAACTAAAGACATTTCCAGTCTAGCTCGTTTATCTATTGTGCATACGAAATGAAAGTCAAGTTAGAATAATAGAAAGTAGGTATTACGATTTTAGTCCAGCTACACATATATATATATTTATATGCTACTTATATATTTTACTGGTGGTGTACGATAATCTATGCAGGTAGACCGGTAAATGCCATGAATTTATGAGAAATTGTTTCATTTTTTCGTTCATCCCTTCATACCTGTTTGGAATATGCATATGAATATGTATATGGGCCTGTGGCTTTCACAATAAACATTTGATGATGATGATTATGACGATGACGATACGAAAGATTAAACCCAGAAACCAAAAGAATATATACTACGGTAGTATCTGAGGTTTTGGCTAGTGAACACGAAGGTATACCCCAAAATACCTTCTTTATGTGTGCGTGCGTGCGTGCGTGTGTGTGTCTTTTTTAAGTTTCGAGGATTGTTTGTCATTTGGTCATTTGGGGGTTCATATTTGTTGTGGTGCAAGGGAAATATCAGTGTAGGTTCAATCTATGTCATTATCAGGGCGTTGCCATCTGGTGTGATTTCCAGCTGTAGCGAGGGTCATCACTTGAAACTCAGAGGGGCGGTGGGGTAGCCGTGTTGTTAAAGCGTTCGCTCATCACGCGGAAGACCCAGGTTCAATTCCCCACATGGGTACAATGTGTAAAGCCCATTTCTGATGTCCCCCGCCGTGATATTGCTGGAATAATGCTAAAAGCGACGTAAAACCATATTCATTCACTCATATAGCAGATCGCCTCCGTGGTGTAGTGGTTAGAGCGTCCGCCCGGAGAGCGGAAGGTCGCGGGTTTGATCCCCGACCGCGTCATACCAAAAGACGTTAAAATATGGTACTTGTTGGTTCCTGCCTGGCGCTCGGCATTAATGGGTACAAGAAGGACTGGTCGGTTCGGAGTCAGTATACTGTGTCTGAATGGGGTATTCATGCTTCACTGCGGCATGGTATCTCAGTGGGCTAGCACTATAAAACCAGCTTCAGTCTGGGCTAGTACAAGCAGCCGCACATACGCATACACACGCATGCACATCGTCATATGAGCGAAATATTTTCAAGCACGACGTAAAACCCAATTTCACCTCACCTCACCTCACTCATATAGCTGTGTACAATAAACCAAAATAAGATCGATCACATATATCAATAAAGTCAAACGTATATAACACCTCGCCTAGCCCTGCAGCAACAACTAGTAATTAGTCTCCGCCGTGATACAGATGGCCCGTTGCCCGAGGACACATGTAATGATCTTCTGGCTCGTTCATCACTCCTGACCTGAGGTTATCCCAACAGACTCGGGGGCATCACACATGCAAAGGAAAACGATCAACACCAGCTCGTTATCTGTATGCAGTTGTCACAAAGCTGGTCACATAGTCCGTCAATATTGGAGCCTATAACGGCATGGTGCGCTCCATTAGTTTAGTGACCAGTTATAATCATTTCTGTCATTCGTGAAAATATATTTGTCGATTTTGCCACCATGACATCCCCTTATCGTAGCGCTGATCTTCGTTGTCATAGGTTTTCCACGTAAAGGGTGACCCGATTGAAATGTCCCACAACCCCGCACGTCCGAGGAGAGCGTTTTTGCGGTTTATGTCTGTTGGTTTTGTTTAACGCCGCACTCGAGTCTGGACCAGACGATCCAGTGATCAAAAGCATGAGCATCGATCTACGCATTTGGGATACGATGACATGTGTCAACCAAGTCAGCGAGCCTGACCACCCGATCCCGTTAGTCGCCTCTTACCTCAAGCATGGGTTGCTGAAGACCAATTCTAACCCGGATCTTCACGGGTGTTTGCGATTTGGAACATTTCGTACAATAATCGTGTGTATTTTTGGACAATTTATCACCAAACTTGTTATTTTTGTCACATGTAAAAGTTCAACAAGTACAAATATTCAGTAAATTTCAAAAAGGGGGATGTACATTTGGTCCCTTTGGCTTGCTGGTTTCAGCTGCCGTTGTCGTTGATGACCGTTCAAAGTGTCGACAATTATTATTAGAACCTCCCAAAAAACCTGGCACATCTAAGATTCACACACAAAAAACGTACCTACTTTTTCTTATTATCCCACAGTCCCAGAGTTATTAAAGGAACCGGTTACGAAATTCATAAGACATATTCTGCTAAAATATGACTTCATTATATGATTCAGTTATTCCCTGACCAGTTATTCCCTGACCATCGCTCATGTATCACTGTCCACTTATGCTGGTCACTGAAACATCGGCGTGGACACATGTCGAAGACTTTGTGAGTGAGTGAGTTTAGTTTTACGCCGCACTCAGCAATATTCCAGCTATATGGCGGCGGTCTGTAAATAATCGAGTCTGGACCAGACAATCCAGTGATCAACAGCATGAACATCGATCTGCGTAATCGTGAAAAAGCATGGGTTGCTGAAGATCAATATTCTAACCCGGGCCTTCAGGGGTCCCGAAGGCTTTGTCATGGTAGGTGTGAGTGAGTATGATTTTTCGCCGCTTTTCCAAATATTCCAGCGTGGCAGTTGTTCCGTCTCATCCTGTGACGTTGAGCACGTGCAGGTGGATCAGATGTGACGTGCTTCCAGGAAATCAATTTCCGCATTACCGGCGCGGATTGTTACATTTACAAATCAAGAATAAGGTTAGCTACATTTTCTATCATCGTATCCCAACGGCGTAGATTGATGCTCATTATGTTGATCGCTGAATTGTCTGGTCCAGACTCGATTATTTGCAGACCGCCGCCATATAGCTGGAATATTGCTGAGTGCGGCGTTAAACAACAATCAATCGAGGAAATCTGGGGCGGCGGGGTAGCCCAGTGGTTAAAGCATCGCTCTCTGAAGACCCGGGTTCGAGTCCCCACATGGGTACAATGTGTGAAGCCCATTTCTGGCGTCCCCCACCGTGATATTGCTGGAATATTGCAAAAAGCGTCGTAAAACCCAACTGACTCACACAACAAATACAGAAATCTGTGGAAACAGATTCCCGTCAAGGAAACACGTTTCTAGAGAAACGGTTCCATACGAAATATTCTCTGGAATACAATTGACATGTATAAGAGCTATCCGGCGATCTGTTAACAGGGCGCAAACCAAGTGGGTTCTGGATTATGTAGACTTAGTTCTACACCAGGAGGTGCTGAAATTTGCTTCTAAATCTTCTGAAAAGATACATAATTGTGAATTCCCTGAAGAAGTGTCAGGCAAAGAACACTTCCATTCCAGCACTTTTTGTGAGTGAGTGAGTGAATGAATTTAATTTTACTCCGCTTTTAGCAATATTCCAGCAATATCACAGCGGGGGACACCAAAATGGGCTTCACACATTGTACTCATGTGGGGAATTGAACCCGGGTTTTTGGCGTGATGAGCTAACGCTTCAACCACTAGGCTACCCCACCGCCCGCACTTTTTGTGAATGGCGGGAGCTACCGGTGCCCATTTCGAGAACACCTGGTGTTGAGGATAGTCACGACTGGGTAATGGTTTGTAATATTGTTTTCAGGGTATGAAACTCCCAAAACATTCAGCCAGACCACAGGGCTGGTGTTGTATGAAAAACCATTGAAGCATGACGAAATTAGAATTCTACCCGAAGTTAAACACGATCTCTGATCACGTGTCCAAAGCCCTTACCGATTTTAAAATATCTGAGGAAGAGTTTCGTCTGGTGATGTCTGAAATTGCAAAGTACCACCGGATGAAAGAATAGATTCGAACCCAGTCTAGGAAAACCGCTGACAGCAGCGAAGAGGAGAAAAAACAGTTAATCGAACAAGGCAGACGACAAATTATTCCAATCTTCCTTACCAAGAACAACGATCTCATCAAAGATTAACCTTAAGCTGTTTTATAGATATCAATAGAACAGATTAGCTATAAGGATGAGTCCCATCGGGCTCATCCTTATGGAAGCCTTAAGTTTTCCACACAAAAATCAGACTTACAGATGGAAAACCAACATGCGCACAAAACATTAATCACCGTTTTTTTCATAAGCTGCTGGGCTGGAATTATAGTCTAATTAATTTTCCAAGGCAATTGCTGTCGGTGCCCTATAGCTAGTGTCATACTACTGCTGGTTAGATGTAAAACTTGCCAGCCCTGACCAAAACTTGCCTGCCCACACAAAATACTAATTTACCTAGTATAATTAAATAAAAACTTGTAAAATATTGAAAAAACGAATACCACTGCAAGAAAAGAATGTAACTGTTTATTTCAGATTTGTGTTTAATGCTTGAATTCATGTTATCACTTCATCGTGTTTTAATACTAAAATATGTTGAATATCTTCATATACATGTCTAAATGTTAACCCGACCGTCGGGCAGGTGAATTTGAGAATCTGGCAGTCCGTGTTGAAAATAACCCGTCCCGGGCGGTCGGGCAGGCAGGTATTTCGAACGCTGCATCGTTTATGAAGATGTTAAAGGCACTATTTCACCCCACTCTTCTCTAAAAATAAATAATGCATTTCTCTCAGTATATACTATCAGCCTTACTTCACCGTAAAGCGCACATCGATGTAGAACACAAGCAAACCATTCAGTTCGTTCTGCCCAATATAGCACCAAGTTTCGTGCTCATCATCCAATCAGTAATCTTTTCAGTTAACCTGCTTGTTGAGTGCCAGATAGTGTCCAGCATCAAATATTTACGTGTTATTAAGTGGAACTTGACAGCTGCGTGCACATTGTTCCTATAAGAACTGAGTACACACATATAGGTTTATGTATGTTTGGCAACGCTGAATTTGCCTTGGTATTAAAAGCTATATGCCATCTTGTTGATTATTCATGTTCTTTAATGGGAATAAAAAGTAACTGTTGCTGGAACATTAGTGACATTAGTAAAATGCATTCTC